TCGACTTACTCCTCTTAGGCGGCGGCGCACTCGAAGAACCCTTCTCGTACCTCTTTCCCCCGAATCCAAAACTCTTCCCGCTCGGCCCGGTGCTGGCCGCGGGTCGCGGGTCTTTCGTCGCTCGATCCTCCTTCTTGGTTGCCTGCAAATCGTCCAAGCTCTTTTCCGTCTTCACAATCAAATCATACGCCGCATTAAAATCTATCGTCATGATCAGCGCGGCGAACGGCCTCAAGTCCGGCCGTAGCTTCTTGACGAACTCATTCAAACGATCCTCCGGAGTGGAGACCAGACTCGTCGCATACTGGGACAGGTAGTCGAACTTCTGTCTCAGTTCAGGCAGTGACATCCCCTCCTGCTTAAGCGCAACGAACTGATCGCGCCTCTCCTCGCGGTACCCGGTGGGGACGTACTCCTTTGTGAAGGCTCGATCAAAGCGATCCCAGGTCCAAGGCTTGGGCGTGTGTGGATCCTGGTCAATGCGCTTCCACCAATCATATGCTCCCTTCCAGAACATCTGTGACGCTAACTCCGAGCGATCAGCATCTGGGACTCTCAAATTCTTGAGTACCCGGTCCATCTGCTCAAGCCAATCCAATGCAATCTAGGGCTCCCCCATCTTGTCTCCTCGAAACTCTTCCGCTCCGTTATCCTTCAACGTCTTGAAGGTAACGATGCGCGGCTGCGGCTGTGGTGGTGGCGGTGGCTGGAACATGGGCATAAGCTGCGCCATGTGCTGCATATAATGGGCCATCATGGCCGGGAACATCTGCTCGTAGGCCACCGGCGGTATCGCCAACGGTGGCATCACTGGAGGTGGTACGACTGGCGGTGGTAAAGCTGGTGGCTGTCCCGCCGGCTCAGGTTGATTCTGCTGTTGCCCTCCGTCACCTGGAGGCGTGAAACTCGAACCCTCAGTGTTCACCGTGTGCACGCTCACGTGCTCCGGCTCCGCAACGTACTGACCGTGGGTCGATTCTTGTCTCATTCTAAAATAATAAGGAAATTCCCAGGTCAGATCTTAACATATAACAAATAAAGCTATAAATACTTATTACCTTCCCGGGGCAGAGGAGTTACGTGAGATGCAGATGCGGCTGAATTATTCATTGTCTTTTATTTTGAAAGGGTCCAAAGACCGATTTTAAAACCAAATGCTCCGATACCAAAATGTAACACCCCAACCCGCATGACCCAAACCCGTGAGACAGCGGACCGGTGTGCCACTGAATTGGTATCCGAATTTGCAACATTTTCAAAACAATTTCAAACAAACGTTCTATCAATACATAAAAAAATCCATCGGAGTAATTTAAAATAATGCGGAAGCCTTTTTAAAGTCAAACAACTTGGGATCTTGCCCGAAAACGTAATAAGCATTAAAGTTAATTAAATAAAGCATAATCAAAAGATTAAAGAGACAGCCACGCCATCGTACATCTCCTCCTCAATGCCCTCTGGGATCGGCTCTAGGTTCATCTGTCTGATCACCTACGGACAGCAAAAAGAAAAACAACGCTATCCACTCAGCATTGACGCTGAGTGGTACTCCATTGTAGCACAAGAATAAACATAATAATTCAACAATTGAGATCGTGCATATGTTTATCCTTTTAATAAAAATCAATTCAACTTTACATTCGATTCTTTAGACGGTTGACCAACAGTCAACTTATTTACTTTCTTTTCAAAACGATTTAGGTGTTACGGGTTTCTCATTAGCTCTTTGACCACCGGTCAAACCAATTTAGACTTTCACCAATGTCAAACCACTTAACATTTAATGCCTATGACGGAGATAGCCTCAATCCGTAATACCGAAGATAGCCTCAATTCGGTGGAGGTAGGATCCCTCGGGCGATAGCCTCAAACCCAAGATCACAGACCCTCGTGCGCACGTTTTAACCTCACTGACCAGGCCCTGCAGCCGCCCGAGCAATGGCCAGTTTCTATGATCAACACAAAAAACCAATTGACCTTAATCACCGATTAGAATTAATTAATTAACTTAACTAATTCATTAAAGTTTTGGATTTACCCATCGGTCAAACCTACGTCGACAGAATATCCAGTCAAAGCTTAATTCAAACGTGACCTAACCCAAGTCAAAGTCAAACCTGTTCAATCAATTCACAAACCTCAACAATTCAATTCACATAATCAATTTAATTCAATTAACCAATTTAGCCAAATTATAGCATAAACACATATAACGATCCAAACCATTAAATCTATTCTAAATGCTATTAACTTCATAGTACGGACCTGGATTTCGCCGAAATCGAATCGATAGCTCGAACGGAAGACAAATCGACGAAATCAAACGAACGGGTCAAATTGAGTCAAAATGCGAAATCGACCGATCAATTCGGCGTGGAGGTTAATCTGCCGGCGATATCAACTCGGGGAAGCGGCCGGATGCGGAGACGGTGACGGACGCCGGCGACAGTGGCGGAGCGGCAGCTCGACGGCGATGAGCAGCGACTGGCGGCGCTGCAATCGACGGCGAGGAAGGACGCCGGCAGTGGAGGCGACGTCCAGCGCTCGGCGTGGCGGCGCTGCAATTCGTCGGCGATGATGGCGGATTTCCGGCGAAGGTGAAACAGCGGCTGGAGGCTCGGCGACGGTGATTGGCTGTGGAAGGGCGACCGGCGATGAGCGGCGACGCCGGCGGCTGGCTGCTCCAATTGGACGCCGACAAGGAGCGGCGGCTACTGGCGAAGGACAGCGGCGATGGGAGACCGTCGTCGGCGGCGCTGACCCTGGTAGTGGGCGACGGACTTCCGGTGAAGGAAAGGCAGCAGTGGTGCGGCGAGGAGGCGGAGGTCGAACGGCGCTGTTGAAGACGAAGAAGGAAGAAGAAGAAGAATAAGAAGAATAAGAAGAAGAAGAGGAAGAAGAAGAAAGAACGAAGAAGGAGAAGGACGAACGAAGAAGATAAGGTTTGTGTGGTTTAGGTTTAGGTTTATTTAATGGTCCCATTCCAAAAAGGATTGAGCTCCGGACCCAAAATACCTGATTAAATGGTCATAACATGAGCTCCATAACTCCGATTCGCGAGCCGTCTGAACTGACGCGATCACAAAAATATTTCCTACGACATGACATAAAAGTTGGGCTTAGAATCCAAATTATAATTTTAACCCCTTTTTAGGCCCAATTCGTAATCAATTGCTCAAACAATTTAATTAATTCTTTTGGGCCAGATTTCGGGGCGTTACAGTGGAAGCTTTCATCATTCTTCCTGGAGGAGTTGACACTATGGAGGGTTTGTTCACCTTGATCTCGTGGGCTTCTAAAGGGTTACACAATAGACCCATTGGTCTCTTGAACATTGACGGTTATTTCAATAACCTACTCAAATTTCTAGATGGTGCGGTGAGGCAGAACTTCATGGCTTTGAATCAAAGGAAACTTTTTATTTCTTCATTCTTTGTTGATGAGCTTTTAGACAAACTAGAGTTTGCTAAAGCGTTCCGGGAACCTGGGGTTAGTTACGATGAGTTCGTGAATCCCGGAAGACTAAACTTGGAATTGCATTTATAACTTTCTACACGTAATCCAAGTTGTATTTGTGTTTAAATAATATTATCCATAAACATCAATGGTTAGTCATATGCGAGCTACATTTGCTTCATTCTTCAGTCTTTCACTGTTGGCGTCATTTATTCACGTCAAACGAGTCAATCGATTTGTCTAGTCAGCATCCCTATGTTTCACTTAGTCAATTCAGACTACATCGACGTTTTTGACGATAAACAACTAAATCATTAGTCGCTTCATAGCAAGGCATCAGTTCATTCAACATGTTCGAGATGTCTATACCTTTTAACAAATAGGTTCTTCGAACAAATCATCTATACGTAGTAAAGAGTAGCGAATTTGCAACATTTTCAAAACAATTTTAAACAAACGTTCTATCAATACATTTAAAAATCCATCGGAGTAATTTAAAATAATGCGGAAACCTTTTTAAAGTTAAACAACTTGGGATCTTGCCCGAAAACGTAATAAGCATTAAAGTTAATTAAATAAAGCATAATCAACAGATTAAGGAGACAGCCACGCCATCGTACACCTCCTCCTCAATGCCCTCTGGGATCGGCTCTAGGTTCATCTGTCTGATCACCTACGGACAGCAAAAAGAAAAACAACGTCTTGAAGGTAACGATGCGCGGCTGCGGCTGTGGTGGTGGCGGTGGCTGGAACATGGGCATAAGCTGCGCCATGTGCTGCATATAATGGGCCATCATGGCCGGGAACATCTGCTCGTAGGCCACCGGCGGTATCGCCAACGGTGGCATCACTGGAGGTGGTACGACTGGCGGTGGTAAAGCTGGTGGCTGTCCCGCCGGCTCAGGTTGATTCTGCTGTTGCCCTCCGTCACCTGGAGGCGTGAAACTCGAACCCTCGGTGTTCACCGTGTGCACGCTCACGTGCTCCGGCTCCGCAACGTACTGACCGTGGGTCGATTCTTGACTCATTCTAAAATAATAAGGAAATTCCCAGGTCAGATCTTAACATATAACAAATAAAGCTATAAATACTTATTACCTTCCCGGGGCAGAGGAGTTACGTGAGATGCAGATGCGGCTGAATTATTCATTGTCTTTTATTTTGAAAGGGTCCAAAGACCGATTTTAAAACCAAATGCTCCGATACCAAAATGTAACACCCCAACCCGCATGACCCAAACCCGTGAGACAGCGGACCGGTGTGCCACTGAATTGGTATCCGAATTTGCAACATTTTCAAAACAATTTCAAACAAACGTTCTATCAATACATAAAAAAATCCATCGGAGTAATTTAAAATAATGCGGAAGCCTTTTTAAAGTAACACAACTTGGGATCTTGCCCGAAAATGTAATAAGCATTAAAGTTAATTAAATAAAGCATAATCAAAAGATTAAAGAGACAGCCACGCCATCGTACATCTCCTCCTCAATGCCCTCTGGGATCGGCTCTAGGTTCATCTGTCTGATCACCTACGGACAGCAAAAAGAAAAACAACGCTATCCGCTCAGCATTGACGCTGAGTGGTACTCCATTGTAGCACAAGAATAAACATAATAATTCAACAATTGAGATCGTGCATATGTTTATCCTTTTAATAAAAATCAATTCAACTTTACATTCGATTCTTTAGACGGTTGACCAACAGTCAACTTATTTACTTTCTTTTCAAAACGATTTAGGTGTTACGGGTTTCTCATTAGCTCTTTGACCACCGGTCAAACCAATTTAGACTTTCACCAAAGTCAAACCACTTAAAATTTAATGCCTATGACGGAGATAGCCTCAATCCGTAATACCGAAGATAGCCTCAATTCGGTGGAGGTAGGATCCCTCGGGCGATAGCCTCAAACCCAAGATCACAGACCCTCGTGCGCACGTTTTAACCTCACTGACCAGGCCCTGCAGCCGCCCGAGCAATGGCCAGTTTCTATGATCGACACAATAAACCAATTGACCTTAATCACCGATTAGAATTAATTAATTAACTTAACTAATTTATTAAAGTTTTGGATTTAACCATTCGGTCAAACCTACGTTGATAGAATATCCAGTCAAAGCCTAAGTCAAACATGACCTAACCCAAGTCAAGGTCAAACCTGTTCAATCAATTCACAATCCTCAACAATTCAATTCAAACAATCAATTTAATTCAATTAACCAATTTAGCCAAATTATAGCATAAACACATATAACGATCCAAACCATTAAATCTATTCTAAATGCTATTAACTTCATAGTACGGACCTGGATTACGTCGAAATCGAATCGATAGCTCGAACGGAAGACAAATCAACGAAATCAACCGAACGGGTCAAATCGAGTCAAAATACGAAATCGACCAATCAATCCGGCGTGGAGGTTAATCTGCCAGCGATATCAACTCGGGGCAGCGGCTGGATGCGGCGACGGTGACGGACGTCGGCGACAGTGGCGGAGTGGCAGCTCGACGGGGGTGAACAGTCGTCGGCGAGGAAGGACGCCGGCAGTGGAGGCGACGTCCGGCAGAACGACGAGGTGAACCGTCGTCGGCGGCGCTGGGCAGCGACTGGCGGCGGACGACCGACGAAGAAAACAGCGGCGGCGACTGGCTGGGGAAAGGCGACCGGCGCTGGACTCGACGGCGATGATGGTGGTCGCCGGTAGGGGAGGCGACGGACTTCCGGCGAAGGTGAAACAACAGCTGGAAGCTTGGCGACGGCGGCTGGAGGCTCGGCGAGGAGCTCTGGCTTGCGCGACGCCGGCGTGGTCGAACGGCAGAGGACGACCGGCGACTGGCTGCTGCAATTGGTGGCGACGATGAGCGGCGGCTACTGGCGAAGGAAACAGCGGCTGGCTCAAGGCGGCGATGCTGGTTGGGGAAGACGAAGAAGAAATCGAAGAAGAAGAAGAAGAAGAAAGAAGAAGAAGAAGAAGAAGAAGAAGAAGCAGGAGGACGGACGAAGAGAACAAACGAAAGAAGAAGATAAGGATTGTGTGGCTGAGGTTTAGGTTTATTTAATGGTCCCATTCCAAAAAGGATTGGGCTTCGGACCCAAAATACCTGATTAAATGGTCATAACATGAGCTCCATAACTCCGATTCGCGAGCCGTCTGAACCGACGCGATCACAAAATTATTTCCTACGAGATGACATAAAAGTTGGGCTTAGAATCCAAATTATAATTTTAACCCCTTATTGGGCCCAATTCGTAATCAATTGCTCTAACAATTTAATTAATTCTTTTGGGCCAGGTTTCGGGGCGTTACATTTCTCCCCCCCTTAAAAAGAATTTCGTCCTCGAAATTACCTGAGTCATTGGTCGTCGAAGAGATGAGGATACTGAGTTCGCATAGATTCTTCGGTCTCCCAAGTTGCTTCTTCCACCGCATGATTACGTCATAGTACCTTTACCAAAGGTACCGACTTATTCCTTAACACTTTAGTTTCGCGCGCCAAGATCTTAACTGGTTCTTCTTCGTAAGACAAACTCTCATCGAGGGTTACAGCATTGGTCGGCAACACATGAGTCGGATCTGAACGGTATCTTCGTAGCATGGAAACATGAAAGACGTCGTGAATCCTGTTCAACTTTGGTGGCAACTCTAACCTGTAAGCAACAGGTCTTATTCGCTCCAGAATGCGGTAGGGTCCAATGAATCTAGGGCTAAGCTTCCCTTTCTTTCCGAACCGTAGGACCTTCTTCCAAGGTGAAACCTTCAAAAATACCATGTCACCAACATTGTACTCTATGTCTCATCTCTTTAAGTCTGCATAAGATTTCTGTCTGTCTGAAGCAGTTCGGAGTCGGTCTCGGATCACACGAACCTTCTCCTTGGTTTCCTGCACAATATCTGGTCCCTCGAGCTTACGCTCGCTAAGCTCTGTCCAACAAATCGGGGTTCGGCACTTTCTTCCGTAGAGTGCCTCATACGGAGCGATCTGAATACTCGCCTGGTAACTGTTATTATATGCAAACTCCATCAACGGCAAGTAACGCTCCCAATCTTCTCCAAATTCGATCACACAAGCTCGCATCATATCCTCGACAATCTGTATCACCCTCTCGGACTGGCCATCGGTCTGAGGGTGAAATGTCGTACTAAGGTTCAAAGCTGTGCCAAAAGCCTTCTGAAGTCCTCTCCAGAACTTCGAAGTGAACCGGGGATCTCTTTTAGATATGATTGACAGTGGTGCACCGTGCAACCGAACTATCTCTCTAACGTATAAGTCTGCCAATTTGTCCAATGAAGAGTCACGTCTGACGGGTAGAAAATGAGCGGACTTGGTCAACCTGTCAACAATGACCCAGATGGCGTCATTCTTTCTTGAAGATCGTGGCAATCCGATCACAAAGTCCATAGTGATCCTTTCCAACTTCCATTCCGGAATGGTAGGAGGATGCAGCAACCCTGTCGGAACCTGGTGCTCAGCCTTGACTTGCTGACAAGTCAAACAGCGCGCAGTGAAATCGGAGATTTCCTTTTTCATAGCTGGCCACCAATAGGATTTCTTCAAATCCTGATACATCTTGTTACTACCCGGGTGCATAGTGTATACGGTTCCGTGAGCCTCACGCAACAAGCGATCCCTCACTCCACCGCAGGGCACCACTAGGCGTTCACGATAGTACAAGACTCCGTCATCGCGAATTGCAAACTCGGGCCTCTTTCCTGTAGGAACTAACTCTCGAGTCTTCTGACAAAACTCATCA